AATTTAATAGGTTTCACTAAATATGGTAATCTTATATATATATATATATATAAATGGACGTGTGTGTCCCTATATTTCACTTTTTAGCCAAAACTACGCATCACACATGAATGGTGTTTGTATGTGGTAGTAGCCCCAAGTTGTTGCCATTCATGCACTATGGTGGTTGCGTCCTGATAGCTATAAGGGTGCGGGAGATATGGGGTTGAAAGTGGAAGATTTTCTATTTCGATTTAAAAAATTTTTGAAATTGAAATTAAATTCGAATTGATTCGATTATAGAACGATTGTAAACATTGCAGAAAATTGATCAAATTGAAAATAGTTCGTTCGACTGGATGTAAAAATTCTCTAATTAGTCTGGAAACAGGTAAGATTGGCTATAATGTAATTATCTTAATCTTCACTATCGTTACTTTTTGCCCACAAATAAAAACCCAGCGAAGTGGGTCCTTGCAGCTAGTTTTAAATAAATAGCTAGATAGATGGATGTGAATTTGTATTTCTGACATTAAAAAAAAGGAACAGTCTTACTAAATATATGCAAATAATTGTATGTATTTAGTAAGTATACATTTCAGACAAATTTTATACATATTACACCAATTGAAAGTTCTGGTTTCATCATTATATTTAAAGTAACTTTAATAAGGGCTTATTGCATTAGATATCAATATAGTCAACCAAAGAGGGCAGAGTAGCTAAAATGCATTTTGATAAAAAGCTTGTAATGATTTTTATTTAAATCATAATAAAAACATAACATTTACCAATTACATGAGATATAATGGTAACAAGAATTTTAGAATATAGAAGGACCATAAACTTTAGACAAATTAGTAATATTACATTTAATTTTGGCTTATTGGTGGCCAAGCGGTTCTGTTCCCTGAACACTGGAACTTCGGTCATGGATTCGTGCTGGCCATGTGGAGTTTTCTGGGTTTTATCCATGCCTCTAATGCCTGACCAGTTCCCTTAGACCTCCCAGAAGGCATTCCCCTAGACAGATCACCTAAGTGTTGCATTGTTGTAATTAACAAAACAAACAAACATTTAATTTTGGTTCTAACCCTTAATTTCAAAATAAATTTGGATTGTTAAAGAAGAAAAATCATAACTATTTAATCATAAAATGCTCTAAAGATTATAGGTATTAATTTATTATTGGATGTGGTGTTAATTTAATCTTATAAGTTAAAAATTACAGTTTAATATTTCAGTCAAATAATATAAATTATTTTTTTAGTGGATGGACAACTTAGTAACAAAGAATTTGTGGCAGTCATGAAAGAACAGTTGCAGAGAGGACTCGAAAAACCCAAGGACACGGGTTTCGTCAAACTCATGGATTCCATCTGGAAATGCGCTCGACTGAAAAAACCCGTTTTATTAGATGTTTAGTAATAAAATCAGTTGGGGATATTACTTTATTACAAAATATTTCTAATACAACAATTTTTTCCAAAATTTTTTAGTCGATGGTTTACAACTAGACATTTACGTGACTAAGTACTGTTTTTTCCATTAACAATACAAATGAAGACTTTTGAAGTAACGACTGCCCACCTCGATACCACACTTTTGTTTTCAAATAAACTTTCCAATATTCTGAATAACTAAAAAGTTTGACTGCATTTTTTAAAATTATAATAGTAATCCGAATCAATAAATAATAATTAACACGTTAGTCTCACACTAATACATTTCAATCTCAAATTAGTCTATAATTATTAGTTAATATATTGAATTCTGAAGTAAAATGTATGTAAAATTGTTTTGAATAAAATTTGTTATTTAGTGAATTGTCTATATAATTATTCAATTCCAAAGTAAAAACTTTATCTTGCTGTATTTGATTTCTATTCTGCTGACAGAGTGATAGTAACAAACTGACAAATTGGTTCTCTGTTAACATAAAGCAATGTGAGAGTAGTGGCATTCATTAACAGCCAAAAAGCAATAGCATGAAAGGTAGATATGGATTAACATTTACAATTATAGGGGTAAGATTAGGGAATTCGATCCCGGTCCTTATTTCTAATCCCGGGATTTCTTCGGTATTGAGGGTTAATAAAAAATAAGAAAATCTTACAGAAATTAAAAATCAAAATTTAGACAAAAATCAACGTATTTTACGGTATACACCTAGTTAATTTAATCACTCTAATTAATCAGACTTACAGTCAGACTAACCAGACTTAAATTCACTGTCTTCATGTTAAATTTATTCTTTTTTAAGCATCACTGAGATCTCTTTAAACTCACATAAATTGAAAAACTTTTATGTAACAAACTATGCAAATAAACGTTGAAAATTCACAAAAATCTCTCTTAACATCGACTAAATAGACTACTTTCATATAACAACCTAGTAAGTAGGTAGTAAAGTAAGTTTCTTAGGAAAAAGTATTTAAAAATAATATTAATCAGTCACATTTTTCTTAAATATAAAGAAAACTAATTTAATAGGAACATTCTAATTTGAATTGCGAAAATATGATCTGAGAAATAACAACGCATCTAGGTCTCATCACCAAGTCTGCTTCTCAATTTGTTGCACATATATGCAGCTGCAGAGAAAACGCGTTTAGGTTGATGGAAGTTGGAGGAATCGTTAGTAAATACTTATAAGCTTCGAGGACACGGGGAGGATGGAAAGAAACAGTCCGGTCGACACGGATCGGGATTGTAGGAGTAAAGGCTATAATCCCGATTGTTTCGATCATTGTAAGCATGCCTTTCTAAAAATAAACGCGTTAATTTTGTAAATTCGGTCTCTGTGTGAGTCTCTCAGCGTTCAGCAAACCACTACCCCGAAACGTAAAAAGACTTTCTCGCATCATCCTGACAGATCGCGGACAAGGCGAGGGTCATAACCTTTTCACCTAAGGTCGACCCCCCTAAGCGAGTAGCGTCAGGTCTATATTAACCACACTGGCAAAACAAGATGGCTGACACATTGACAGGTAAAACGCACTGAGTAGTGCTCTCGACTGCGCCAGAAAATCGATTGGCGCCCGCGAAAATTCAAAAATACAAAAATGAAGTATATTACCAAGTAACCCAGTGAGAACTGCTTGCCTATCATTTTAGTTGAAAATACAAGAAGTTTTATTCCAAGCAAGCATCGCAAGCCCGCTTGGTTAATTTCTGCTGCTTGCTTGGAATAAAATTTCTTGTATTTTATATTAAAATGATAGGCAAGCAATTCTGTTAAAAGCACTGGCACTGAACGTTTCGCTTCATGCAGTCTATTTTGCAATTTTTTTAAAATGATGTCAATCCCGAAAATCCCGGGATTAGGAAAACTTAATCCCGAAAATTTTGGGACTGAAAAGTGGTCGGGATCCCGGGATCCCGATTTTCGAGATCCCGGGATCAAATCCTCTAGGTAAGATTTTTAAAAAAGGCTTTTGCATTTTTTTTCTAACATTTAGAAATTATAACTAAACTATCAGACTTGCTTTGTGGTTCCCTTAAATTAACCTCTTGTTTGAATGCCTGGAAAGACATGCAAGAACTCTTGCTGGCTTTAGTTTATTTATTTTTTTAATTTAATTTATGATGTAGTGAGTTCTTACAGATCAAAGTTACAATTTATTCAGCAAATTTGTTTTGTGTATGTATATCATTATCTATCAATACAGAAATCAGTTTCAATTGGTAGTGCAAACCATATCATAACTGATGTAAATAACCAAGTGTGTATTACTAATAATACTTGAATTCATATTTTGAATAATATCAAATCTCTCATCAACTGAAAGATTTGATGATGATGTACAATGATGAGCAAGTCCAACTTTGCAAACTGCAGAACACAAAATGCCTTCTCTGTTGTGGTACTTCCTAGAGGTAGATGACAAGATGTTTGAATGCAGATGAGAAAAGAAACTCTATCATTTAGTGTACATCATATACTTCTCAGATAATAATTAACATAATCATTTTAAATTAAATTGTATATACAAGGTCTTCAATGAATTCATACAGGACTAATATCCAAATAAAGCAAAAGTTGCCTGTTAAGCATTTAATAGAAAATTTTATAATTTTATTAAGCAGATGTTACAAATGCTCTTAAAAATTCAGCATATGCGATTTTTCCAGTTAAATTTGGATCATAATATTCTAAAATTCTGAACAGTTGTTCTTCGGGCAAAACCACACCAATTTTTTGTAAAAGTTCCCTAAAAATGTTACATTCCACTAATCCGGTCATATTTTTGTCGTAAAGTAAAAATTGTCTTGATAAAGTACGAAAATTTTTTGTTACTTTACCACGCATCTCTAACAATGTTTTTGTTAAATAGGGATTCTCCTCTCCGAGAGAAACCTGGAAATTTATAACCATTTTTAAATTTCTGCTATTCTATAAAATGACTAAAATAGTAGCAAACCTTTATTCTGGCCGGGGGTAATTTTCTTCTTTTACGAATGTCTGCACTGGTGGAACTTTTTCCGAGATGGAGAATATATTTAGAAAGAATATTCAAATAATCTATGGTAGAGTCTGTTAAAAGTCCTAGAGATGCTAATTCCTTCTCAATTTTCTTGTCATTGACGGGAATAGCCACTTGTTTAAGAATATCTAATGTATTAAAATAGAAAATAAATAAAAAATTAATGCTCCAATAGATATTAAATTCATGTTTTAATATATTTTGGCTATAGAAACTAATTCTTGTTTCTAATAAACCTTATTGACTCGAAGTTTTATGTCATTAGTGTACGAGACATTTTATTAGTTTCTAAATTATAATTAATAAGCATATTAATTAAAAAGAAGAGAGTTATAATGTATGATATTAAGGAGTTTAAATTAATTTTCCAGATTTAAATGAGTAAATATTCAATTTAAAAATAGTATATTAAGATGGAAAAAAGTAGCAAAATACTTCTTGGTCAGCAACTTTGTGTTGCTAACCAAATAACAATATAAACTGGAAGTGATGGAAAACCATCACTTCCAGTTTCACAAAAAGTGCATTGTTTATCCATTAGATTGTCAATAATGTCATTTACAATTAACTAAGATGCTAATTAACACGACAAATTGTTTCTGCTAAAGATAACAAAACTGGAAAAGAGGAGGGCACAAAAACACCATAACAGAAATTGTTTCACTTAGATTAAAACTGGTTGATACGTGAAAACATGGCTATATTTTAACATTTAAGATGGTAATTAGCTTTTCTTCAACAACCAAATTATTTGGAAATATATAGAGGAGAAGGTGGTATTATGGAACCCCAATTACATTTTAGTGAATTGTAAACAAGGTATCATAACTACACCCACATTTTTTGTGCGAAAAGTACTGGTAACTAGTAAACTAAATGTTCCTAATTGGATTTTTCGCTAGTGTAATTATAAGTATGGTTTTTGAAGGCTTTTGTACAAAAAGTCCGAAAGTAGGCTTAGAGAAAATCGGGTGGTAATATGGAACCTTACTGTATATTTTCAAAAAAATGCTTTAATGTAGCCAAAAACAAATAGGAAAGGACAAAAAATGTTAAATAATTACAAAATTATTTACTCCAATGTATTTTATCGCAAAAATGCTTTTATAATAGAAAAATATGACCTCCATCAACAATATATATTCCAGCAGCTCTTTTTCGATATTCTCAGGAAGAATTGGCTTTCTACCTAGTGTCTTTTTCACAAATTGCTCTGGAGGAATGTCTGCTTGCAAATAGAAAGTTCGGAGGAGTTGAGTTCCATATTACTGTAAAAGCACCAATGGGGTCCGTATTTCACGCATCGCCATCTCGAATTAACTTATGTCTGTCAAGACCAAAATTTAAAAAACGTGAACATCACACAGATTAATATGTACCCCTAAGTCTCTGGAACGGAATACATGCACCAGTGAACCTACAACTACACGATTTATATTTTAAAAATAATTAAATTCACTTAGCATTCAAAACTTGCGAATTTTGAAAAAAACAAATTTGCTGATTAAATACGGACAACCGTTTAACTGAAGTAAAACGGGTTTTCCCCTTGCTATGGATGTCTGCCTAGTTCAGTTCAGCCACATTCCGCTACAGTTCGCTTTTATTATCAGTTCGAAATGGGGTGGTTCCATAATACCCGCACTGTTCCATACTACCACCTTCTCCTCTACTAAATGTATAGTTAAAAAGAAATGAGAATTATTTATTGTGACATTGTCACAATGCTCTCAATTTTAGCGTCTTGCCCCTGTACATCATACTTTTCATGTTAACAATGGAATCATGCAGGTCATCCATCTAACTCCATTCAGGAGAAAATTTTTGAATTGAAATAACGACTTCCACTCCAAACTGAAAGTTTGTATATAGTTAATCAGAGCTTTCCATATCTGGTCTTGAATTTCTTCTAACTTCATTCTCCAGATTAAGGAAGAATAGACAGCAGACAGATGCCAGTGGAAATTTATAGATCTACAATTTTTGAATCTTTCATTGGACTAAATTGAAACTATAAAGTCTTGAAAATGGAATATAGATTTTATATTATGCACAAATGCAGATTTTGCTCTTACGTGGTTTCAACAAACAGCTTTAAAATATTTTTAAAAATTAATTAGATTTAGAGTACCATGCACCAACCAGTTTAAGAATATAAGACTATAACAAATGCTAAGTTTGACAAGCACTGCTAATGTATAATATTCAAGCTCTGATATTTAGGAAGTTTGCAATCTTAGATATATTTATATGGGATGTATACCTTAAAGAAAAAGAAAGAAAAGTAGATAGAGATTTTTCAAATTTTTCTTATATATATAAAATATTAATAAAAAAGAATATATTTGAGAAGTTTTTGACATTAACTCCACTTATACAACAAATCATTATTCGGCAACTGCCAATATTCAATTTGAAATATAACAACTTTTTAATTATTGTTTTTCCAAAAAAAAATTCTAAACATATTAATCTAACAAAAGTTATATACACTGTCAAATTAATTCAATTAAGTTTCATTTTCATATTTACATAAAACAGTAAATCAGTGGTTAAAACTATATTGTACATACATGTACAGGTACAGTACACAACATGAGAAAATGTGAAATGATTTTAAAGTATTTTTAGCTTTGATTGTTTTGGAATGAAGGAAATCTATTTTTTTATAAATTTATAGAAAAATGAATGAATTCTCTATGTAAAATAGAGATTTTCCTTGACTTTTTATTCCTGGCTGTTATACTGTTGTTTATTTTTTAAATAACGTCTTATAACAGAGAGGAAAGTTATGCAACTCCTTAGATTTTTTTTCAATAAGAGAAAACTCTATTAAAATGCATTAAGATAAAACAGAGTTTAACTTATGAACAAAGTTATTTTTTACATCTAACTCAAATTATTTTAATTGTACTCATAACTCAAAAGAACTGAATACAATTTAAGATAAACACAAGAAAAAAATCTCATATAAGAATTTTTAAGATAATAAATACCTTTTAACTTTTCTCCTGGTATTAATCCAGTCTTGGAAGGATCTTCAGTTTCACATCTCTTCTTTATTTCTCTGAATTTTGAATTAATTAATTCTTCTAGAGTTTGTTGTGTCTTGTTATGTAATTTTTCAGATAAATTTAAATTTTTCTGTTCCTTTTGCAGAGTTTGGATTAATCAGTACTAAATTTTAATCTTAAAAGAATGAATGTAAAATATTCATACCCTATTTATTTGCTGCTCTAATTCTCTTTTGATAGCAATTTCTGTAGGTGTAAAAACTGTTCTTTTTGATCCAATATGAAATAAGAATTTCCTAAGAAACTCCCAATAATTGATTTGATTTCCTGGTTTAATATCATAAGTATTGGCCAGTTCCTGAGAAATTTTTGATTCTTTTGTTGGAATGCCTGCCCAGTTTAATATGTCTATAAATATATATTATTATATGTTAAATTTGAATTAAAAATTTTATATAAATTAGTGTACATACAAAATAATAACATTCTAAATTTCAGGCATTTTAACTATTAAATTTCTTGTATCCATCATGCTCTTTTTTTTTAGTGAATACAAAATATGAATACATAATATACATAACAACATAATAAATAGTATGAATTTGAAGATTCTGCTATTTATTTTCAATAAAAATAATGAAATTAATTTTTTTTATATACAGTAATACCCCAAACTTACGCGATAGGTGGGACCAAGCGGTAACCGCGTAAGTCGAATTCGCGTAAGTCGGGGTATAATTTCGCATATAAATACATACAAATAATTTTTAATTGGGGCCGGAGACTAAAGAAAACAATAATTTAGAAAAAAATGTTTAATAAAATCTTAGATAATACATATGTATAACAAATTAGGCCTATATTATTTTACAATTTTTCACATTTACTTGATTATTACGCCATAATTTTAACATTGTTTCCATCTCAGCGATAATACTGTGACGTTTACGAATGATGCTTGAATTTAAAGATTGAGCATTTTTCACAGCTTCGAGAATTTTTTCTTTGCCTTTTATAATTGTTCCGACCGACTATTCCGGTAGATCAAACTTCTTTGCCAATTCACAAATTTTCATTTTTGTATCGAAGTCTTTAATAATGGGTACGTTTGTAAAGTCAAACGAGTTAAACGCGTTATTAACGAATCGTTCGAAAAGTCTAACGAAATAAGAATAACAATGACTTCATTCTCGTTTAACTCGTTCGACTTTACGAACGTACCCAATGTTAACTTTACATTTCAAAAATAAAGTTTTTCTTTTCTTGTTTGACACAGAAGAATTAGTTCTACTTCGTTTGGATGACAGTCTCTCAAATCTCCGTAGATATAACAAACACAAAAATAAATAACACAAAATAAATTGTAGCTATGTGTGGATTCCGCGCGACACATCCGAACATGTAAGCTGAACAATAGTGTGGGGGGAATGAATAATCAAGGGTTGTGTGGCGCACAAACAAAAGACGAGATTTGAAAATCGCGTAACTCCGGGTTCGCGTAAGTCGAGGTACTACTGTATTAGAATATGTATTATACATTTATCTTTTGATGGTTCTCTTGAAAAGGCTCTATGCTGTATATAGAATTATATGAAAAAGGAAATTCAATTTTAAAATAATACATAGTTTATACTTCTATAAGTACAAGTATGTGATGAACCTGATTATAAATGCATAATACAGTCAAAATTTGATAATAGCCAGTGGCATAACTGCAATTTTCAGGAAACTAGGAATTAAGGAAAATGAAAACTATTATTGTTTGAATAGTTGTTATTTATATTATGTGAAAACAAAATTTAGAAATTGAACTGAATTAAAATTCATCATTTTAAAATAATATAAATTCTTAAAAACATTCAAGCAGTATGGCAACCCCTACTTTGTGGGGTTATGCTGCTGATAATCCCCCTCCTAAATAGTGATAATGTCATTCATGATATGAAATCATACATGTTTCACACTCAAACTTGTATACATAGAATGTTACTATATATAATTCTTAGCTCAAGACACTTCAGTTTAGCACCATATTTCATTTAATTTTAACTTTAATGCCATTGTTTGTTCACCTCTGAATTGAAGTTTGACTATAGTATTCAAAACAAATGTCTTACTTTGAAATTTATCAGCTGATATGATACCAGAATGATTAGAATCCACTAGTTTACATCTTCGCACAATGTCTTTGCACCTCCATAAAATACGTTTTTGTAAAAAATAATCAGTTGGTGTTGGAATAGATGATGGATCCACAAGAATTTTTTCATCAATTGACTGTTCCATTTCTTTTCCTAACTAAATTTATAATAAATTATTGTTATTTTTAAAATAAGTTAATAAAAATTTAACTTTATTATTATGTATATAAATATTTTTCAAAAAAATTATATTATTACCAGCTTTCTATTTCTATACAAATACATTATGTAAACTAAGCTTTAATTATAAATTTGGTGTGATATATTGAATGGTATAGAATCCTTTACCTAACATATGTGTATGTATAGTACTGTACATATGAGATAAAATATTTTTATTACTTAAAGAGAATACTGGATGGCTTATAAATTAATCAGTTTTAATTTAAAACAAAATAAAATATTATATTTCAAAATAGCTGTTTTCAAGTATATCTAATATATCTGAATTTTAATTCAGATATATAGATATATTAATATAATAGGTATTCTTTAATGTAATATTATACATTGTGTACATACAGAGTGTCCATAAAGTCCGTGTGCAATTTTAAAAATTTATAACTTTATTAGTATTTGTGATAGAAAAAAAAGTTATAAATTTTTAAAATTGCACAAGGACCTTGTATTGATCTGTTTATAAACTTAACATTATTTTCTTTATATAAAGATACTTTTAATTTATTGACATTCATAAAATGCATTAGATTAATATTAGTTCAGTTTATATTGTTGGTAAAGAGCTACAGTTCAAGTCAAGAAAAATATGTACAAATAATTTTAACATCAGATATAAAATATGTTTGTAGAAACCAGGTTGTAGCAACAGTCCTGTAGCCAGAAATAAAATAGGGGCTAGAGAGTTGCCTCTCTAAGATTTATTTTTGGCCACAGGAGCTGAAAAAAAATTGTGACTGGTGGTTCTTTTTTAGCAAGCACTAGGCCAATTATCTACCTTCCAAGTGTAAAAAAAAGTAATAATAGTATAAGTTCACTTGATGAAAGTGAAATCATATATTATATATACTGCATAGGGACACTGCTGACTGAGCTGAAAGGGGCTAAAGCCAAAAGAAACAAGAAGATTCAGAAATAAAATTGTGTTTAGAGAAAATTGTTTAAAATTAAAATTTTATTAAAAAAATTAAGTAATAGTTTAGTTTTAGTTACAAATTAAATTTTAATATAACTGAAATTAAGTAACATAATAATTGTATATCATTCCATTCATTTAATAAGTGAAATAATGAAAACATTATGTTATTTGTAATAAATCTAACCAACCTTTGATTGTCCTCTTGATGTAAGACAAACTTCTTCTGGAATAGCATCTTGCTCATTTTTTTTATCTTGTACTGTTAATTGAAGTTGTCCTGATTTCACACTTATAGGACTTCTTGGTTTTATTCCATGTGTTGTAATTACTTTTGTTTGTTCTGGCCACTTAAAAACTGATGGTGAAGGTGGAACTCTCAAAGGATTCATAATTTCCTTTATAACAGGAAAAGGAGTATGTGGTCGCACTCTAGGTTTTTTCATCTCTTTACACAAATCAATTGTCATAATACTACATTGTGAAATAGCAGTTTTAGGACGTTCTATAATTTGGTTTTCTATTGGAAACATTTGTGGCGGTGTATGTGGAGAACTATCTATTTTCTTTCCAAACTCTTCTACAAAATCTCTATATTTTAATTTGTTAAATTCATTTGTTGGAAATTTATTCCACAATTTTTCAAACTAAATAAGTTAAAAAGAAAAGAAAATTTTATGATAAATTTATTAAATATTTTTTTTGTTTTTTTTTTGGTTTGTTTTAAAAATATTAATTTGCTACATTAAAAATTACCTGATCATCACTCATTCTAAATGCATGCTTATCAAAAAGGAGCTTAACATCAGCTTTATGTGCTAAACCGACATCAGAATAATCGAGTGCGTAGAAATCTCTCAAAAATGTATTTCGTTTTGATCGAACTGCTTCTCTTAAATATTCTTCGGCTTCTTTCAGAGTAAATTCTGAGCCAGAAAGTGATTTAAAGGAAACAAGTCTATTTATAGTTTTAATCCATTTTTGAGTCTCCTTAGCAAATAAAACATTGTAAAATTAATTGTTTTAATACAATAAAAAAATAAGCTATGTTTTATATTTAAAGCAGAAAAATTTTCTTAAAGTACTTTTGACCATAATTCTGATAATCATAATTTTTACAAATTTAAATAAGTAATAATGTCAATAGCTACATAAAACATTTTTAGATAGCACATCTATAAAATAGTTATTAAACTATTTCAATGCTTTATATTCTTTACCATATCAATTTGATATAAAGTAGATACTTGTTGATTCAAACTAATTGCAACCCAAATCTGATCATCCAAAATTATTTTTCCCAATGTATTTTTTTGTTAATGTGAGGCTTCTCAATAAACTGTAGTTTGATGAGACTTTGTATTATGTCAAGATGACTTACACCAGTCAGTTTTTGAAATTTAACCAACTAGATTCACATTTATGGGGGTTTTCAATGTGCAGTAGGAAAGAGAAACAGTCCTGTAGCCAAGAATTGAAGGCTACAGAGACAAGCTGAAAAAATTTTGATTGGTATCACCCATTATTTTGGCCAGCACTACGCCTATTACCTACAATTCAAATGTAAAAAATGTAACAGTAGCCTAAGTTTATATGGTGAAGTGAAAGCATATATTATATATACTGCATACAAATGCATTTATACATATACTAAACACATACACACTAAGCCCACTGCTGAAGTGGGCTTAGCCACCTCGTAGCACTATAGCTATGGCTCTGGAGAGGAGACATGACACTAGCATTCATTTTCTATTCTGATAACAAATTTTAAATTTATTTTGAGGGTTTGTACAGACTATGTACTTTGGGCAGTGAAAAATAAATGCAATAGCAGTGTATTTTGTTCAGAAAGAAATCCAATTTGTTTTTGGCTGTTTAAATTAATTGGAATTTCAGACTACTGCAGTTCTAATTAGCAAGGTCCTACTGCATTCAGTCTCATCAGAAAAACTATAATTGCTAATTTTTGAAAAAGGAAATATTTTGATTTTAATTTAATCTTTTGAATGCAAATAATATTTTAAAAGTAGAAGTGATATAGTAATTAAAATTTTATTACTTTCTGTAAAAAAATTTTAAACCTTAATAGCATAACTAGAAATAATATTAGGAGGAGGTGCAAATTAGTGCAAACCTAAGTTCATCCACCGGATGTAGCCACTAGCACTGTGGATGAAGGATATTGTATATATATGTGTATAAGTGTATTTGTCACATCCAAATCTTTTTCTTTATTAATTTATTCACAAAGGTAAGGGAGTACCTCTTTGGTTATCCTATGCTACTGATCTTAAAATCACTATAAATTCTTAACTGAACTGTAACAGCAGAATCTAGTATAATATGAATTATATAAAAAACTATCCATTTATTTTCTGATAGATGAAATGATTATTTTCAAAAAAGATATAAATTTATATCATCTAATTGATTAATCTGTTGAAAATAAATTTCAGTATTTAAAAAAAAAAAAAAGATATAACTGAAAAACAGTCCAAAGTAAAATCATCACATTGCAATTGACATAATACAAAATTCTGATATGGACAGGAAGTTGTGATTTTTTTTTTAAATTAAAAGATGATTAAAAATTGCAGCCTGGCATTGTGACAATGTTACAATAAATAATTGTGCATTTAATTTAATAATCTTTTTACATTTAAAAAGACTACTTATTTCTTTAAGATAATGATATATATTAAGAATGATTTAAATATGAATATTTTAGTAATAAATAGTTAAGAATTTAAAAAATTTGATAAAAACTATTTTATCAATGCAATAAATAACTAAAAACTAACCTCGTCAAGATCCTTCTTATATAGATCAAAAAATTTTAAATACTCTATCTCATTTTCAAATACATCTAAGTCATTCAAAATTTCATTGTATTGATCATCTGAAAGTGGAAAACAGAAGTATTCTAGAATTTCTCTGAAATGTTCTAATTTTATTCTTCCCGACTGTTCCCAATCTTGTGCCTTGATTGCCTGAAACATTTTGGATTTAAGAATAATTACATCCAGCATGTATGAAGCAATTGTAAAATGAATACATTAATATTGTAGAAATTTCATTTGTATAAAATTAAAATATTTTACCTTTTCTATTTCTTGATATTGCTTAATTACAAAGCTTTTTAATTTTTTCTTTAATTTGTCTTCATGTAAATTATTGTATGATTTGGCATTTTTTTTGTCATTGTCCTAAATAAAATATGTATAAAATTAAAAATATGTAAAATATACATATTAATTTTTAAATATGTTAATGACATTTTGATCATAGTGTTAGATTAATTTAGAATCCAGAATCATTCTCATATTTTATCATATTTTTATATTAACAATCCAGAATCATATATTATATTATCATATTTTTATATTAACAATGAATTTCACTTGTAATATGAATACACTACAATTATTCCCATAATTGACTAATTTTTAAAAAATTGAGATACATAAATGTATTTTGTGATTTCTGATTCATTTTTCACATTAAAACAATTAGATTTTATAGCACACTAAAAACTTCTAATGGGCTGTCTGTAAATTATGTAACACAGATATGGATGGGTGGATATATACAAGTAATCATTACAATGTGTTACAAGGGGAGGGGTATTTATGAAAAGTCCACATAATGCTAGGGTCTCAATCCTTGAATAATAGTATGATTAATTTTTGTTCTTATTCGTCTCCACACCCTGGAATGTACTAAAAATAACTTTTACTTTTAACCTTGTAACTGGAGTGTTGTGTAACACTTCAGCGAACGTTTTCAATGCCCCTTCTGGGCCCTTATCTTTCCTAAGATAAATGGCTCAAAAAAAAATATTCAATTTTTCAACGTCCAGCTCAGTATTTATAGAAAAAGCCTGAGGAAGAGCCCAGAAGGGGTGTCGAAAACGTTTGCTGAAGTATTACACAACACTCCGGTTACAAGGTTAAAAGTAAGAGTTATTTTCATTTTTGTTCCTGAAGTATTGCAGAATAAACCATATTGTTTATATCGCTGTTTTTTAAGTTATACATATAATTAATAAAATAATGTAATGTTCAATATCTCTTGCTGTGTATTATTATTCAGTACAATTTAGGAGGTTGATCAAGGATTTGCATAATTTTTATGTAATTTTGAGGGTGTGTGTGATAATGTTACGAATTTATGAGGATGGTTGAAAAATATAAAAATGGCATTACATAATTATGGATAATCCCTAAATTGTTAGGTAGATTGATTAAAACTGGGAATAAATTTCATACAAACAATCACTGTAAATAATTTTTTTCTACAACATTCCTTTTCTATAACCACTTTCATTGTTATCATTTTCAAAGAATAGATGTAATTTTTTGAAAGAGCATTAAAATCAAATAATTAAATACATTCTGTACTTAAACTGTAAGCATAAAGAAAGTTGATATTTACATAATTAGCTTTAAAATTTTCATTCTAAATAGATAAGTTATTAATGTTTTTCATTTTTATGAAATATAACAAATATTTTTTGAATACTGATACTGATTGAAAATATAGTAAGAAAACAAACAAAACAACTGAAAACAATGGTTTTAAATATCATAAGGAACATAATACATAAACAAAAGTAAAAATTAAAGAAATACATTTATTATGCCATTAAAATTTAATTTTACACTTAAAAAAATTAAACTGCACACAGTTATCAGAAATCTTTGTCCTCTTAAAATGTCTGTGAATGTACAATAAAATTCAAACAATATCAGAACCTTCAAAATTTTCCTAAACGAAATATAATTTAACATTTTTAATTATCTTGTTATAATTATAAATTTAATAGTTCATAAAAATTCTTATTAAATAATAATTCTTACCTTTTGTATGTCAGTTTGTTTTAATTTAAATAATGTTTCAAAGTCATTAATGTTAATTAAATTAGTGTGGTAAGGATCTAAAATTAAAAACAGTTCTTTAAACTCTTTTTCTGTTATTTTAAACTTAGATAATTTCTTTAAAGCAATTTTTAATTCAGATCTTGTTATAACTTGATTATTCATCTGTAAAATATACATATATACACATATCATTAAACAATGGTTTAAATATGTTTTTAAAATATGGTATAAAATAAAAGAATAATTTATTTCATTCTCAAGAGTTAAATATAAGTTAAACGATTTTAATGGTAAAGACATATACTTTGTTTTACACTCCTGGGCAAAATGTTTTCTAATATTTGGCAGTCTTATCTGGCACATAATGCACCATACTCATGGGACTAGTGTATTGGTAGGGATTCTTTTATAGGCCCTTGATCAGAGTTTTATTAAAATTGGTAGTAGCCCAATTAATAGTATCAAGTTCCTCACAGTTGTAATGATTATCTTGATGTATTTGCTCTTCAAAAAATGCCAGATACAGTAGAGCGTTGATTATCCGAATCAATCGGGGACTGGGGTTGTTCGGAAAATTGATTTTTCAGATAACCAATTATGTACAAAAAAATACATTATTAATATAGAATATTAATATATCCCAATAATAGTATATTAATATATCCCATGTTTAAATTTTTCTCTGTTGCATGTCACTTTGAATTTTCGTCAATGTTAAGCCTAACAAACATTTTTATAATAATTGTGGCTATTGTATCGTTAAAAATTATTTCTTTATTTGTACAAACAAAATAAATATATTGAAAAATATAAAAACAAAAAAAGTTATATTTTAAAAGTTAATCTAGTATCAAAAACATTCGATTCAGCAGGACACAGTCCGACTGGAATGCTTTTGGTTGATTGACATTCGGATAATTGACACTCTATTGTATTTTCTATTATATTTAGATGTAACTTCTTGCAGGCCAATGTAGAATATTCATATTGTTGACTTGGAAGTATTAAATGATTCATTTGGTTTTATACATTCATGCATTATTTTATTTTCTATTTTTTTCCAATATATATTTATAATTTAAAAAGTTTTTTTTAATAAACTGTTTAATCATAAAAATATTAATATAAAACTGACTAAAACTAAATTTTTTTTTACTTACATTTGAAAAGAGCTGAAAGCAGTTACAAATCTTCACATAACTATTTGTTTCACATTCCATATTCAAAACTTTCAGCAGAAGTAAAATATTTTCAAATTTTCACAAATTATCATATTTCAAAATTTTGACAAAATTAAAAACTGTTTGATTAACATAATTTTCAAAAATTCTGACAGCTGCTCTTATAATAAAAAAATAACAATATAATTAAATAAATTGTTTATTTTAACAACATTTGAAAAACAATTTTTTAATATTCACAAAAGCAAATATTAATACTTTGCTTTAAGAATACAAATTTTTAAAGATGGAATATCAATTGTAGAAATGTCAAAAAAGATAAATTGTGTATCTTTAACTAATAATTTAAAGGTAGAAAATTAGCTGAATTTCAAGGGATAAGTCAGCGAGTGATTCATCTTGTAAAATATTTGTAATTATTCCCTTTCCAGACCGAATGATTAACGAGTTAATCTGGTGACTGTCATCAGGCCTGCCGTAAGCGGGCATGCAAGGCGTGCACTGCACGTGGGCGGAACGTCCAGGGGGCGGCAAATCAAGCGATCTGTTAAGTAATATTCAAAGTCATTGTCATAATACCCACCCTACTTATAGCATAAGAAATGTCTTTGCATGGAGAAAAAAATTCTGACCGGTGCGCAATTATTATATTCTTATTTATATTATAGCGTTAAAGTGCCTCTATTGGCATTTATCAGAATTAAGATGCAATGCGAAACGTCTGTCGGCAGGTTGAAGCATCCGGCGGCGCCCAGAAGCCAAGTACCCATAGTCGTGCTCTATGACAGAAGTTGATAGAAGTGGCGATAATAGGGAATCCCCACAGAGCTTCCTTCTCAATTTGTACTTGTACGCATTCGAACAGTTCTATCGCATATCAAATTGCAATTATTTTGTAAATAATTCTTCTGACATGGGTCTAAGTATAATTAATCATATTTTAACTTGGTTAGCATTTAAATCTGAAGCTTAAAGACGATTCGAGTAGTGAAACAGTCATTGATGGTATTGATTTGTATGATTGAAATCTGTACTTTAAAGTTGCATTTTCCAGAAAACCAATCTAATGATCCACAAACCCTATTACAATATCTTTTTACTAATTACTTAATATCAACATTTCCTAACACAGCAATAGTACTAAGAATATTACTTACATTGCCGGTTTCAGTTGCATTTGTGAAAGGTTTTTTTTCAAAGTTAAAAATTATAAAAAACTATTTAAGATCAACAATGCATCAGCAAAGACTAAGTAATTTAGCTATAGTTTAAATTGAACACGAAATCTTAGACAGCTTGGATACAAGAAAATTGATAGCAGATTTCGCAAACATAAAGGCAAGAAGAGTTAAATTTCTGTAAATAAATATTTATATGGTTTTACACTTAATTAACAAAAATAACTTAGTAATAATAAATAGTTTTTCTTTATAAAGTATTTCTTTTCTTTTTTCACACCCCTATGAGACAACACTAAAGAGCCTTACTGGCAAGCTCAGTGTAGGTAGTCGTAGTTAAACAGGGGGCGGCATAATCGGTATTGCACACGGGCGTTCAAACAGCCAGCGGCGCCCCTGACTGTCATGAGTGTTGGTAACCGTGACCAACAAGCAATTGTGTTATTCTAGGTTAAGTTCCCAATTCTTTGTTTCTCATTAAAACTCCTGTTGAACTCAACCCCTAAGGCGTCCACTCTTTTTTGTCCTCGTGCGTGCATTTTTACCCAACAACAGTCTGGATTATTTCGATACATTTAAGACACTACAATAACAAGTTTTCTTTGGAAACAATTTATATTGAATGCTACGTTTTTTATATATACCAGTATTGATTATTTATTTATTAAAAAAATAATAATAATAAATTAATATACATTGACTTTTTATAATTTTTAACAATTTGGTATAAGATATAGATTTTTCCTTTAACTAATATTAGAATTAATCAGAGAAAAATTCATAACAGAAATTTAATATTCTTGTTTTATGCTTTCAAAAGACCATGATTCATAATATATGTATATGTGGTTTGTGTTTAGAAATTTTAAACAACGAATTAAATTTTTTCAAACTAAGGTTTAATTTAAATTATATATTACTTTTGGTTTTCTATCAAATTAATTAAGAGACTATTTGTATAAAAACCTATCTATCTATCTATCTATATAGGACTTTGTGTTTGAACATAGAAATAAATAATATACATGAAATTAAGTACATAAATGAATATGTCATATACTTTTATTTAAATATATGATTCTACTAAAGATAGTTTTAATAAGAGAATAAAAAAAAATTATATCTGGATTGATAACTAAGATAATGTCTGTCTCAGTAGAAATATATAAAAATTTGTATTAATTAACTATATGTTGCATATACTTACTTGTAAAAATTCATTCATTATGTGGTAGAAGCTGTGCAGTAACAAAATTTTGGCAAATTTTGTTACTGCATACCAGCAAACTGGATATAAGCATAAACATGCTTCAAAGATGGTTTTTTTTTAAACTATTATTGTTATGAAGATAAAGGTATAGCAAATTATATATCAGGTTCAGAAAAAATCATAATGCAGTTAAAACAGTGAAGAACTTTCTGATCAAAATAATCATAGGCCTGCCTCAAGAATGCCAACATTTTGTTACTGCATGAAAATCAATTTCCACTGTAAGATAGATCATTCATTAATGAACTAATCAGTAAATTATTAATGGAGGAAGAAAGTAAGAAAAATATCTCTAGCTCTGAGTTAGTTTTGTTGAAAAAACTGTAGGCAAAAGTGATAGTAGTCATAGTTAAAAGGCAGACAAAAGAAAAGACTTTAAAATAAAGAATAGGAAATTGGAAGAATTGAATGTTCGTAATACATGTAAGATCATCTAGACAAAGTGGTCAAAAGCTCAGAAAACTATAAATAACTTAAGCATATAGATATAAAATATTTCATCAGAGAGAAAGTGAAAGATGGAATAATAAATATCAAGTACAGATCCAGTAAAAAACAACTTGCTGATATGTTGGCTAAACTTTTAAATAGGCAATCCTTTGAGAATTTTTGTCATGACAATAAACTTTTGCTTACAATAATTAAAATAAAATCTCTGTGTAATCTGCATTAATGTTAAAAAGACTGATAAAATAATTTTACCAAGGGAAGATGTTAAAATACAATAAAATGTATTGTTATCTGGCAACATTTTAAAATACTTTTTGTCTTATGTACCTTTTCCTTTTGTCATATGTCTATCACACTTACTGTTATGATCTACATTGAGTATCAATAAAATGCATTAAAATAAAGCTGTGGAGGATTGAAATAAATTTATACAAGTAAAACGGCGAAGCCATTCTTGGGATGAGACTGTTTTGGAGAGTGCAAGCAACGTATGCGCAATTCTCGCACTCATGCCTGTTGTAGAAACAGTCTCAGCATTTCGCATTTTATTTTGACCTGGTTCTTGGTCCCCCAACTATCTACAAGTCTGGTTTATTTTGTGTGTGCATGATTTGGGCACCAAATACTCTGTGCCAAATTGCAACTCCTGACATGTACTTCTTCATACCTCTAATGTGTGCAGCCATTGACAACAGCACAATTTTAGAAATGAGACATAGTCTCATCAAAAATAGTTTAATTACATGCTGGTGTTTCAGTCACTATTTTGCACAGAATTTCTCAATATATGTATTAATAAAAATTAAGTTTTGAAATGTAATACCATTATTTCATGTCCTCTTACATTATCAAATAAAGAAACAAAAATAATGAAAGCCTAAAACTTAGATTTATTTAGTGTAGTACTTATTTTAATTGTAACTTTCTTATTTAAAAAAATATAACTTATTTTAAATTAATGAATAAATATCAACTTACCTTATCACTACAGCCAAATATAGATTTCAGTTTAGTTTCTGAATTTGGAATAAGTTCTTCAAGATGATTCACCAGACATTCATGACTTTTCATATCATTAGGATCTCTAGAAAAAAATATTAATATATTAGTTTGAAATTTTTAAATACATCATAATTAAATTATTTGCACTAGAATTTCATATATTAAAATTACAGCTTAATTAAAATATTCACTCTGAAAATTCAAAATTCTCCAAATTTTCAGAAAATCAACTTCCTTATAACTACTGATATGTAATTTGTGCCAAAATTTTAATTAATTTTACAAATAATTTTATTGTTTCAAGTATAAAATTTGAAGAAAACTACAGTTAAAAAAGTTATGAATGTTAAGTTAATTTTTCTGAATTTTCAAAATCAATCGTGACATACAGTATATATATAAACACATGGCTTGTTGAATTCAGCAGTGCTGTTGTTTTTGCTGCAAAAGTGCTGCAATCAGTGCTGAAGATCTTTTAACAATGCACATGGAGCAGTGCTGAAGTTCCAAAATGGTGGATCTCATTGCAGCTGTCAGAATGTTTTGTGAATTTATTTAATTCAAAACATTTTAAAAGTAATTCAATATAAAGCTTTAAGAGAGAAAATTAATAATTTAAATTTAATGTATGCAGCTTCTTTCTGAAACATAAATTAGATAATGAAACATTTAAAATATACAAATTTTGTCAAATCTTTTATTTTACTTATGAGTATTTAAAAAAAAATTAGTATAAACAGAATATCAATTCATGGTAATCAAAACCTTACAATTTTACTGTTACATCATATAGGAATTCAAACAACTCGATCATGGAGGTAGCCATCTTCTTGCAGCCAGAAAAGCAACTGAAACAAGGGCTGTAGATTTAACCTTGAATCAACGAGACTGCTGCAAGGATCACTGCAATTAGCACTTCAAGAAAAAGTTTAGCAACGCTCTCGATGGCATTGCTTAGTTTAACAACCCAACAGTATGTTTTACATGCAACCTTCAACTTTTGCTTGCTCTTTGGACATAATACTTTGCTATAGCTAAACTGCTTTTTGTATGTCAAATTTAGATTTTCTTACATTTTGTCAACAAAAAATATTTCAAGTTATTGTGTGATACATTTTCTGTCAGTTTTAGTTTCATAACCTCCAAATATTTAGTTAAAATAAACCTGTTTTCTGTTTAATCTATGGTTTAAACGTTTAATTAATGGTTTATTCATTATAATATATTCACTGAAATAAACTAAAATTTTCCTCTCTTAACAGGAGATTTCATAATATTTTTTTTTACTTATCTTGGAATAGAACTTCCTTTATAACATGCAACTATTGCTAGACTTTCAGACATTTAACTTTCATATATATTCTTATAAAAGCATTAAAAAATGTCACTATCTGTCTGTATATTTCAATTAAAATAAATAAAATTCCTTGTTATATTCTTTATTTAGAATCACATTATATTTTAGTTATCATTGTGCTTAAAACAACAAAAATTTAATGTAAATAAATAAGAATGCTTCTTTCATTATTGTCAAAATTAGCCACATTCATCATAACGAAAAAACTGGAAAAAGTTAATACTATTTTTATCAATATTTATAAAATTTTTAAATTACACTAATCACTTCTTTTCTATATACAATATATAAATTTTTTTGACATTTCTAACTTATTTGAAAGTTAAGATTAAATCAAGAAAATAATTCAAATCACATGAATGTAATTATAAAATATTGAGCCAAATGTATTTTAGAGATACTATACACTGTATAATATTCCTAAAATGATGCATCTAGTAAAATATATACTAAAGAATTCTTTTAAAAATGATTAACTTCTGAACTGCAAAAACATTTTCCACATTATGACTGTACATTACAAGATCTGTATGAGACAAACACTGAATCAAATATCAATATATAAAAATTTATACTGTATATTAATTAATTAAATTATCAATAACCATGAAGCAGATAATAGTGAGGGCATATCAGACTAATGATGGACACAAATGCTCAGTAATCAAAGTGAAAACATTTAATAAGCACAAAAAGGACTACATAAGTATGGAAACGAAAAACCCAAAACTGATGAGGGACTATTTTCTGATAAAAAATAGTCCCTCATCAGTTGGTATTAACTAAAGGTTTTAGTATATTTCAGTGGCGTGCCATCATTGGAATCATTGCCATCATTGGCAGCTTCCCTTGTATTTTCTAAAAAATAAATACATATTAATTTTAATTATATGAAAATAATCGCACAATATTTTATTATAACTGCATTATGTATCTTATTACAAATTTCTATACTACATGTGAAAAAAAATAAGATTGCTATTCTATATTCAAATATAAGTGGTGGAGTGGAAGCGCTGTATTGTCAGCATCGAAAAAGCCAGATTTGCACATGCACTTTACAGAGCACCAACCTCACCCGGTTTAGCCTGTGGAAGCCTAGGACCTTGGGTGGATGCTACACATATACCACATCCAATTCTATCCAGGATAGGTTCTGGGCTGTTAGCTGCCTGCCCGCTAGATATTTGGCCGCCCTCACCCGATTACATGAATCACGAGTAGATTTATAACTTAACCCAACCGATAAGAATTTACTGGTATGTTTTTATGATAGTTCTGTATAGTTGACGGGAGTTAAAACAACCCATTAAAATATTTAATATTTTTATTCCGCTCTCCGATTTTATATTACTCATGGATTTCAATGTTAAACCAGTGATATTACAATTTCGTATGTCCCATCTATAAGGGGATGTAGAAAAAAACGTGTACAATTCTTGTATAATGTTAAAATATTAACTGTTACTTTGACAGCATCATTTACAACTAAATTTAATGAATGAGAGAGATGCACGAGGTACAGAAAAAGCTCTATAATTTATTTTCCTTAATTTTACAATTTATGTATCCGTTTTCGTAAAAATTTGTCTTCCCACTTTTTCCCAAGACTACAAATATTCGAGTACAAAGTAACTGGTTTCAACTTATTTCTACTTAAGTAGTGAAATAATTAAGCGATTAGGGAATTGGGGACAAATAAAACCCTGATGAAAGGGCCGGAATATTACTTAAAAGCTTAATGCCTTAACTGAACCAATCTCTAGCCGAGTATAGTGGAGACTGATTTCTTCGTAATATTAGACGTAATAAAGATAGAAATTTTTCCAGTTCAATGACAGTGACTGAAAAGTTGTAAATTTTGGAAATTTCTGTGGATATGTGGTCCTAAAACGAATTAGTTAGAAAACAAACGACGGATAATCTATTAAGTTTAACAAATTTAGATTTTTACAGCTATGGTGAGAAACATTTAAAATTTACAACAATCCTGTCGTGTCTTTTGAGATATATTATTGATGTGACAAAAGAGGCATTAGACATTGACCGGTATTGGTACCCTCAGGATTTGGCAGCCTACGTGCATGTATGCACCGCACGCATAGCAGGACCGTCTCTGATTCTACTCGTAGGGAACTATTTGACGAAGTGGTTAAGATTTAAAAAGTAAAGAAGATTTTATGTTATTTTTATGTATGTTTCTTTACAAAGCTATATTTAATTATAATTTTCTTTAAAAGTATATTCATACAATTGAAGAGTATTTTGTACCAGGTATGGATATCCACCACATTATATTTTATTTCACCAAGTAAGTTTTTATAATTTTATTTTTAATTTTAGCCCTTATATCGTGGCTAGCAATTCAGAATGTAATTACGTTATTGAAAATTTATTTTAAAAAAGTTTTGGCTCAAGATCACATTGTGGTGATCCACCAAATGTATATATATATTTTGTCTTTAGTGTTAAACTTAATATTAAGTTTTCTAAGTCTTTTGTCTATGAACTTTCTCGAACTTTCTAATGGTCTTTCCTCCCTGCTGGTGGTAAAAACGTTTCTCAGAAATACAATGGAAAACAAGGGTGTGAAAGAGACCCTGAGGCAAGTCAGAGAGAAAAAGAGGGACATTCTGAAGCTAGCATTCGAAGGAGACAGACAGGTAGAGAAGAAAGTCCTGGTCGTTGAAACCAGAGAGAACTGAATGATCTGAGAACGTTGAGAGAGAGAAATAACGGAAGAGACGAAAGAAAGGAAAATCAGCAAAAGTCTTTACCTGGATACTAGCGAAGTATAAAGGAAGGAAGGAAGGAAATACGGATACCACACCAGCAACTTTGTCTTGTTCTTATTAATCTAAAATCTTAATTTTAACTCTTTCGTTCTATATTTCTTCATTAGTATATAAGTTAGGTTAAGGTAGGTTAAGAAAAATCTTGCATTGTCGCGAAAAAACCGTGTCACTCCCTTGTACCAATAGAAGTATATGTTACGGAAATCATATATATTGGAGTTGGGATCCGAAAGAACTTTGTATATGTAAAACTGCACAAGCCGACAATAAAAACTTTTATTGTAGACAACTTTCATTGTATTGTTTGTATTGTTTGCTCACTACAACATAATGAAAAAGAAAACATTATTAAAAGAGAAAGGCCAATGTCTAAGTTAAATATAAACACTTCAATAAAAAATTTGTTCGACATTTTCACGATAAAATGGCTCTGTAAATGCAAAAATGCAAAAATTGTTTTGTTGGCTTTGCCTACTATTTTCAAATGAAATTAGTGTGTGAAATAAGAATGGCTTTGACAATTTAGCTGACAAAAGACATGAAAAATTGTTGATTCTTTCGTATTTGAAGCAATTTGGAAATCAAAGCAGAATAGAATTTAACATTAGTAAATAATATAAAATAAATATTAAAATTATAAAGAGATAGTTACAGCTAATAGATATACAGTAATACCCTGAATTTACACGATAGGTGGGACCGAGAGATAACCGCGTAAGTCGGGGTATAATTTCGCAATTTGTGTAAAATCCAAATCAGATGTATGTAAGCTAATAAATGTTCTCATTAATCTTATCTCATCTTTTGATTTGTTCACGGTTACAAGAAATCACCACATAGAGTCTCTCAAATCTCCGTAGATGTAACAAACACAGAAATAAATAACACAAAATAAATTGTAGCTATGTGTTGATTCCGCGCGACATGTCCAAACATGTAAGCTGAACAATAGTGTGGGGGAGTGAGTAATCAAAAGTTGCGTGGCGCTCAAACAAAAGACGAATCAACAAGATTTGAAAATTGCATAACTCCAGGTTCGCGTAAGTCGGGGTAGCGTAAGTTGAGGTAGCATAAGTCAAGGTATTACTGTATTTAAATTAACAATGTTATATGTATTTATCAAAGCAAGAATCAGCATTTAGAGGACATAGGAAATCTATTAAATCTAATAACAAAGGTAATTATATTGAACTTGTTTATTTATTAATTACGTCAGATAAATAATCTATTAAAAATACATTTAAAGAATTAACTGATTGCCCCTGGAAATCGGCTTCTTACAGAAACACAGCTTCCCTATCATCAAATGTCATGGCATGTCACTGGTATATTTAAAATTATACAAGGTAATGGTAAACTTAAAACTATGCCTAAAGCTATACAATATAAAGATGAAATGCCATTATAACTATATGAGCAGTAAGCATTATCACTGTAGACAGCTGTAATAAATCTTCATAATGTTGCAGGGCAGTGTGACATACAGGATATTGATCAAAACAGTTATAATTATTAGCCAATATTATATAATTAGCCAATTATTGGTTTACAGTTATGAACTAAAGTTATACAGACAGATTATGTACATACCAAAAACAGTAAGATGACAGAGTTGCAGGTGTAACAGTCCACATCTGGTACACAAGTGCACCTTTAGATAATACCTACTGATGATACTTACTGCTCATACAGTTACAGCGGTCTTTTCATCTTTATATTGTATAGCTTTGGGCATAGTTTTAGGTTTATTTTTACCTTGTATAATTTTAAATATACTAAAACCTTTAGTTAGTACCAACGTGCATTATTCTAAAATGTTTATTGTTCATATGGTATTTCATGTTTATTGTTCACATATTTCATTTTAAAGTAAAGTTATTGTGTAATAATAAAAATACAAAAACAACTATGACAAACAAAAGGAAATTAATTCAAATTGTGAATTCAAATGTCCAAACTGTCAAGAAATAATACCACACAACAAATAACAATCACCTACATTAATAAATAAAAATTGTTTTAAATATATAAATTTCTAAAAAAGACATATTTAAAAAATAATTACATTTTGTCTAGTTCTGCATAGGGTTGACAGTAATCTTTCAAGAAATTACGCCAAAAAATTCTTCTTGGTGAAGCAAGAATTATATCTAAGCTAAATAAAACAATATATATATTTTAGATTTTATTTTTAATTAATTTTATTTTTACTTAAATATATTTTAATATAAAAATAACAATAACTAGCGATTAGAATTATTAATTTGTAAACATTTAATAAAGATTGACTTTTATGATAAAATAATATGATATATATGTTGGCATCTGCTGCAACTTTTCTAAGGAGTTCCATTATCATAATTATTGCTTAAATCAGGCTAATTGCACTTATATCAGGTAATTTACTGTACTACTGAGTGAGGCAGAGAATTTTCCAACATTCCTTAGAGAATTAATTATAAAATTTCAACTTCCAAACTCCTTGTCCTTGATTAGAAGACTTGATCCTTATCAGTCTGCTGGGGGAAAATGATCTCTTTGCCCCAGTAAATGCCTGTGTATATACATATACATCACATTGTTTTATTTACACATTAGAAAGTAAGATAATACAAACATTTAAAATTTATAATAAACAAAATAAACTAATGAAATACAGTATAATATGCAACATATATTGACATATATAGAATATTTATAATAGATAAAAATATAAATGAAATTTCCAAGATAATGATTTTCAGTCAGGAAGAACAGCAAAGAAAAACAGATAATCTTTTCACCGTTTATGAAAAACCTATCATAAATGATGTGATTTACCTGGATATTCATTTATCAGTATCGGATTCTTTTGTCAAGGGTAAAGCAGTAATTGATATTTTATGCAAAATGAGAAATAGTCACATACTCCTTTTTAAAGATTAGCTGTCCCTCTATTCATGTTGAGTTGGTTGTATGTTTACCTTTTTGGGGGACCTTTCTACTTTAATGCAACTGATTCAATTGAGTTCCTGCTTTTTCATTGCCTGTTTGCTTTTGAGACATCAATACCAGTCAGATCTGAATTGGGATTGGAATTTCCTCATAATCATTTTATTAAGCTTGTATTTAAATTTTTATCAAATATTGTCTCTGACTCGTCCTCTCTTGTATTTGTGGCAAAATCAGTTTTAAAACACTGTCAATTAAATTATGATTGTCTAACATGATTGACAGTTGTTTACAATTATGTTAAAATGTTGTCTAAAACAGGTTATTATAGTGTGGTGCACGTCGGCTACGGGCCGATTCTGATGATAGAGGGCGCAAAAAAAAAAAAAGTGAACTTTGAACTGGTCACCCACTTTTCGAGGAACAGCTACAGGAAATGGGCACAGCACAAACAACTTAAAACCTTTGACCGATGTCGGACTGTAATATTGTACATTACTGTACATATATATATATATATATATATATGTATATATTGATAAATAAAGAAAGAGATATAAAATTCCGACTGGACATATCCTGAGCAGCACCGAGCGATTAGCATAGGGAATCGAACTCCAAAACTGGTGACCCAAACAAAGAAGACACGTGCCCCACAAGGATAATCCATCTCCATCGTACAACCACAAGATCAGAAAAACGAAACTTAACTATTTTCTGTAATTTAAGAAGGTCAGTAACAATTTTATATCTTTATTTTAGAAAATTTCGTCAACTGATATAATGGAGTCAGCTAGCGTTCCGCAAGTCTCTCGAGTGGCAGTCAAGCCACCTCCATTTTGGAAGAACAATCCCACTCTCTGGTTTGCCCAACTCGAAGTCCAGTTTGCCATCGCTAATGTTTCTGCTGACATAACCAAATATTACTATGTTATTTCAACAATAGAATCGGACATCTTAGAATCAGTACACAACCTGGTGACTAAGCCACCTGAAAACAACAAGTACAACACTATAAAAAAAAGGCTGATCGACATATACTCGGAAAGCCAAATGTCCAAATTGCGAACACTATTACAAGGACTTGAAATGGGCGACCAGCATCCGTCACACTTATTAACCAAGATGCGTGACCTCGCCAATGGTCATTTCAGTGAAGACTTATTAAAATCGCTGTGGCTTCGAAGACTACCAGGAAATATCCAAGCTATTCTGGCAGCCTCAAATGAAACTCTGCCACAACTCGCCACAATGGCTGATAAAATACACGAACTTACAATCATAAACCACACGCCAATCAGCCAACAGGAACAATTCTCTATTAGCAATCCAATCGAGAAACAAATACAGGAATTAACATTGCAAGTGAATGAACTCGCTACCCTGGTACAAGCACAAAGATACCAACATCGCCCAAGATACAACTTCCAAAATCACCAGGACTCGCACGGACGAAGTCCATTCCGTGAGTGATGCTGTTACAAAGAACCAGAAGGTGGCTTATGCTTTTACCACACTAACTTTGGTGCAAATGCAAAAACAATGCACCCCACCTTGTTCATTCCAAAAATTGGGAAACTAAACAGGTCCTGTGGCCACAGAGAGCAAATGCCAAGTCAATAGAATCTTTATAGCCGACCCTTCATCCAAACTTCACTTTCTAGTTGACACAGGAGCAGACGTATCAGTCATACCAAAAAAATTCGCAGCTCAACCTGTCCATCCAGGAAAACTCACCCTTTATGCAGCAAACAGCACTCAAATTTCAACAAACGGAACCAGACTACTCATGATAAATTTAAATCTTCGTTGAACCTTTAGCTGGCCCTTTATCATCGCTGATGTTGCTCAACCCATCCTGGGCATCGATTTTTTGAAACATTTCAACCTACTTGTCAACGTAAAACATAACTGCTTGATTGATGCCACAATTAAACTTACATCCAAAGGGATGACAATGAAGAAGCTACCAGCCTCCACCAGCATCACAGTCGTGTCTGGCGACTCACCATACCACAAACTTTTGGCCCAATTCCCTAATATCACTAATCCATCAAGATTGGACAAACCAAAACAAAAGGCTCAGGTCTACCACCACATAGAAACACAGGGTCCACCTGTGTTTAGCAAACCACGTCGTCTACCTCCAGACACTCTTCTCGCTGCTCACAAAGAGTTTGAGTTCATGATGGCACAGGGAAACATTCAGCCATCAAAGAGTGCATGGGCCAGTCCCTTACACATGGTAGGAAAACCAAATGGAGACTGGCGGCCATGCGGGGACTTCGCCGCTTAAACGCAATTACCCACCCTGATAGATACCCTGTGCCACACATACAAGACTGTATGCAATTATTACATGGAAAGACAATATTTTCCACCCTAGATCTAGCAAGAGCCTACCATCAAATACCAGTCAATCCAGCAGACGTACCTAAGACTGCCATAACTATGCCATTCGGATTATATGAGTATCTATTCATGCTGTTTGGACTGCGAAATGCTGGACAGACCTTTCAACAATTTATCCACCAAGTGCTACGTGGACTTAACTTCTAATATCACTAAACTTCCCTAATATCACTAATCCATCAAGATTGGACAAACCATATTTTGATGACGTCCTGGTTGCATCTGTAGACAAGGACGAACATCTACAACACCTCCATCAAGTTTTCACACGACTTCAAGAACACGGACTTACCCTGAACCCATCAAAATGCGTCCTTGGTCAGACCTCAGTACCTTTCCTCGGATGCCTAATCACTCCCGCTGGCATACACCCTCCACCTGAGAAAGTTCAAACCATCAAAAATTTTCCACAGCCACGAATAATTGCCGAACTACAACATTTTGTGGCAATGTTAAATTTTTACCATTGCTTTCTCCCAAATGCTGCAGCTATCCAAGCACCTCTGTATGATGTTTTGAAAGGTAGCAGAAAAAACAACAAACGCACTATCTGGTGGACCGAAGAAATGACAACCGCATTCAACAAGTGCAAATCCGACTTGGAAAAAGCGGCCACGCTTGCATTTCAACCGAGTAATAGCAAACTTTCCTTGATGGTTGACGCATCGGACCTTGCCATTGGATCCGTTCTGCAATGCCATACCGACCAAGGTCCACGTCCGCTTGCCTTCTTCTCTTGCAAGCTATCCAATGCAGAACGAAAATACAGCACTTATGACAGAGAGCTCCTCAGCATATATTCATCCATCAAACACTTTAGGCATCACCTCGAGGGAAGACATTTCACTATTCTAACTGACCATCGACCACTGACCTTTGTCCTCAATAAAAAATCTACATCCTGTTCTCCTCGACAACTCTGACAACTTGATTTCATCGCGCAATTCAGCACTGACATCAGACATATTCATGGAGCTGACAATACTGTAGCTGACACTCTCTCTCGAATCAACAACATCCAGCTACCTTCTTCCTTAGACTTCACCGCAATAGCACAGGAACAAAACAACAATGAAGAGCTTAAAAAACTACAATCTACCCAACAATCTTCCTTACAGCTACAACCTCTCACTCTCAATTCCAAACTACAAATCATGTGTGATACGTCAAATAATAGGATAAGACCATATATTACAATTAACTTTCGCCGTGAAGTCTTCAATTCTGTTCACAATCTCTCCCACCCAGGCACTCGTGCAACCCGGAAACTAATTCAGGAATGCTTTGTATGGCCAGCCATGCTCAAGGATACCAATCAATGGTGCAGAACATGCATAACTTGTCAGTGGAATAAAATCAACCGCCACATTCGAAGCCCACTGCAACAGTTCGACCTACCCAAGCAACAATTCGACCATGTACATATGGACATCGTGGGACCACTTCCACCATCAGAAGGATTCATGTACCTCCTTACATGTGTCAACCGATTCACACGCTAGCCGGAGGCCACACTAATCCCAGACATAACGGCAGAAACGGTAGCGAAAACATTCATATCAACATGGGTAGCTTGATTCAGAGTTCCTTCCATTATAACAACTGACCAGGGCGACAGTTTCAGTCCCAACTCTTCATGTCACTCACTGCCCTCCTTGGAATCAAATGAATCCACATAACCCCCTACCACCCATCATCAAATGGGCTGGTAGAGCGTTTTCACCGCACACTCAAACAAGCCCTACGATGCAGTGACAACAACTGCTGGACAGAAAGTCTCCCTACAGTTCTGCTTGGGCTCTGTTCCATGTTTAAACTCGATGTCGTGGGCACTTGCTCAGAAATGGTATATGGAACCACTCTACGTTTACCTGCCGACTTCATACAACCGACAAATAATAACTTCCTTGAGCTACCCATCTTTCTTCAGCGCCTCAGCAATATTATGAACAATTTTTCTCCAGTCCAAACATCCGCACATGACAAAATTATCACCTTTCTACATCCCTCAATAATGGAATGCTCCCACGTATTCGTTAGAAACGATTCTGTGAAAAAACCCCTACAAGCTCCATACGCTGGCCCTTATCAAGTCCTTACATGATCCAATAAACATTTCACCGTACTAATAAAAGGCAGAGAAGCTGTCATCAGCATAGATTGGCTCAAACCAGCATTCATCAATACAACTGCAAACGATACATCCACTCCACCAGTCAACAATGCAAGCAATCCTTTCACACCGACACAAGCACCAACCACCATGACCCGGTCAGGACGTCACGTCCGGTTCGACCCCCGGTACCTCTGATCCCTATATCGTTGTCACTGGGGGAGAGCACTGTGGCGCCCGTTGGCTATGGGCTGATTCTGACGATAGAGGGTGCAAAAAAAGAAAAAAGTGAACTTTGAACTGGTCACCCACTTTTCGAGGAACAGCTACAGGAAACGGGCACAGCACAAACAACTTAAAACCTTCGACCGATGTTGAGCTGTTATATTGTACATTACTGTATATATATGTATATGTTACAGTCAAAACCCGTTTTTAGTTAGAACGCGTTTTAACTAGTTGAAACTAGTTTATACTGAATGTCTTTGTTAAAACCCATTTTGTCTAGTTGAAACTAGTTTATACTGAATGTCTTTGTTAAAACCCGTTTTGTCTAGTTGAAACTAGTTTATACTGAATGTCTTTGTTAATACCCGTTTTGTCTAGTTAAAACTAGTTTTAACTCAAATTCATTTTTGACTACAGTAAATTCTAGTTTTAACTAGACAAAACCGGTTTTGTCTAGTTAATTTACTGCTGTATATGTTTTGACTTTAGATAAAACTAGTTTTAACTTTTAACATTAGTTAAAACTAATTTTAGCTACATAAATATGTTTGGGGGAAATAAA